CATTTGGCTCACCATTTTTGTTGTATTAATTTATATGTTTATAGTTTTTTCTTTTTTGGTTATTTTGAATTGCAGCGCAATTGGTATATCAATATCTTCTGTTAATGAAGCCTAATGCTGGCCATACACAGGTCAAACGTCAGCTGCTGCCTACTAAATTGGCTGAATTTCGAGCTGTGGGTGGCCCTGTTGTCACTACCCAGCTCAACGAACTTTGATTTGAAAATGGAAAGAGCCAGGTTGAAAATTCAAGACCAAACAGTGACCAGATTCAGTCACTTCATTAGTATTCTGACAGTCACAGGTGACATCTGTCAGAATACAATAGTGAGCAAAGAGATTCTGCTATCCACTCTGTTCAGTCTAGATGGGGGCAACTTAACCTCTATGCCAGCTTACTCTATATAGTACAATCAAGACCTCCGTCTTCTTGCTGGTGATCCCTCTAGAGATACAAAGATTTATATAGGGGAATCTCCTTCCTCCTTCTGGTGATTCCTCTAGTGATATAAATGTAGCCCCCCTCTAGTTAGCCAGGGAGAGCTAGCTAGGTTTTTTTTTAGTTAGAGGTTGGATAGCGGACTGGGTGAGTAAGACTGGGTGTGAGTCAGCCAGGTAACTTGAGGTCAGGGCTGAGGGCTCTGAAGGTCAGTTCCTTGATACCTCCCCCTGCTCTAGAAGCTTGAGAAGTTTCTAGAAGGCAGTGGGTGAGGAGGTTCTGATCTGCATACTCAAGGTACAGCCCTTAAGTATGAGAGAGCCTGATCAGGAAGTGGTCAGTGTCGGGTGGAAGATGGAGTGAGAAGGCTGGAGTGTGGAGCCTAGGAGGGGGCCCAGTGAGAGGCCTACCTGCAGGCAGGAGGATCGCTCAGCCTCACCATCCCCTGAGAGAGGCAAACTGGGGATCAGAGAAGGAGCCATCCCAGTGTAATGCCTGAAGGCAGCCACTAACCCATAAAGCCCACAGGAGAGGACTGAGTGAGTAATCCTACACCCCAGGGCCAACTAAGGGGAGAGGGCAGTCAGGTGGAGAACCCAAGTAGCTCCTCATCTGGAACTGTTTCATTATATTGGTAGCTTCTGGGCCCCCTTGCCCAGGGATTCCCTCAGGCAGCTGGGTGAAGAGGAGCTTTCATCTGGGGTCTGAGGTGGTACACCAGTAGGGCTGGAGAGCTCTTCAAGAAGAGACTTTTTTGCCTGTAGAATTGCACATAGCTGCTAAGGAGTTTGTCCTCAAGTTCACAGTTTCTTGGGCATCTCATACACCCCTCAACCCCATCCAAATTTCAATACCCGTTAATAGAACAAAAAAAATCAAGCTCAAGGACTGTTTATTGTCTTCAGTGTGCAAGGTCTGAAGAAAATGCATGTTGCTTGGCTGTGCAGAACTATAGGGGGACCCAAAACTCAGCGACTCCTAAGGAAGTAGTGCAATATAAAGATCTACATAGAGGAATCAGGATCTCCTTCCTTTCATTGATGATCTCTCTAGTGATAACTAAAGATCTACAGTTGCAAGAAAAAGTATGTGAACCCCTTGGGATTACGTGGAGTTTTGCATGAATTGGGCATAACATGTGCTCTGAACGTCATCTTAGTCACAACAATAGAAGAACACAGTCTGCTGAACATAATACTACACAAACATTAGATGTTGCCATGGTTTAATTGCACATAACATGTAAACATTCACAGTGCAGGGAGGAAAAAGTATGTGAACCTTTGGACTTAATAACTGGTTGACCCTCCTTTGGCAGCAATAACCTCAACCAAACGTTTCCTGTAGTTGCAGATCAGACCTGCACAACAATCTGGAGTCATTTTGGACCACTCCTCTTCACAAAACTGTTTCAGTGTAGCAATATTCTTGGGATGTCTGGTGTGAATCGCTCTCTTAAGGTCATTCCACAGCATTTCAATCGGGTTGAGGTCAGGACTCTGACTGGGCCACTCCAGAAGGCGTATTCTGTGGTGTTGCAGCCATTGTTTTGTTGAATTACTTGTATGCTTTGGGTCATTGTCCTGTTGCATCACCCATCCTCTGCGGAGCTTCAGTTGGCGGACAGATGGTCATACGTTTTCCTGCAAAATGTCTTGATAAACTCTGGAATTCATTTTCCCATCAATGACAACAATCCGTCCAGGCCCTGAGGCAGCAAAGCAGCCCCAAACCATGATGCTCCCTCCGCCATGTTTCACAGTGGGGATGAGGTTTTGATGTTGGTGTACTGTGCCTTTTTTTCTCTACACATAGTGTTGTGTGTTCTTCCCAAACAACTCAATCTTGGTTTCATCTGTCCACAGTATATTTTGCCAGTAGTGCTGTGGAACATCCAGGTGCTCTTTTGCAAACTTCAAACGTGCTGCAATTATGTTTTTGGACAGCAATGGCTTCCTCCGTGGTGTCCTCCCATGTACTCCATTCTTGTTTAATGTTTTCCTTATTGTAGATGTGTCAACAAAAATGTTAGCATGTGCCAGAGATTTCTGTAGGTCTTTAGCTGACACTCTGGGATTCTTCTTTACCTCATGCAGCATTCTGCGCTGTGCTCTTGCAGTCATTTTTACAGGACGACCACGCCTAGGGAGAGTAGCAACAGTGCTAAACTTTCTCCATTTGTAGACAGTCTGTCTTACCGTGGACACATGAACATCAAGGCTTTTGGAGATACTTTTGTAACCCTTTCCAGCTTCATGCAAATCAGCAATTCTTGATCGTAGGTCTTCTGAGAACTCTTTTCTGCGAGGCATGGTTCACATCAGACAGTGCTTCTTGAAACCAGTAAACCCAAAACAGGTGTGTGTTTTTTAAGGGCAGGACAGCTGTCAGCAACACATCCAATATCATCACACAGATTGGAGTCAAGGTTGGCTCACTCCTGGCTCCAATTAGCTCTGGGAGAAGTCATTAAGCTAGGGCCTCACATACTTTTTCCTCCCTGCACTGTGAATGTTTACATGTTATGTGCAATTAAACCATGGCAACATCTAATGTTTGTGTAGAATTATGTTCAGCAGACTGTGTTCTTCTATTGTTGTGACTTAGATGACGTTCAGAGCACATTTCATGCCCAATTCATGCAAAACTCCACGTAATCCCAAGGGGTTCACATACTTTTTCTTGCAACTGTATACAAAGGAATCAGGATCTCCTTCCTCTTGTTTGGGATCCTTTTAGATCTATATTAAACACTTGCCCTCCGCCCTATAGCAGAAAAATAAGTATATATACGTGATTTGCATTTCTGGGTAGGGGGAGTGCGAGCGTACCGCTCTACCTGCGCCACTATTGGAGGCTAGAGATGGTAATCATCGGGTTCCGGCCAGCGATTCGCAGCCGGCCGGCACTAGGTGATCGTTGTAAACAACACAGGTCTCTCTCCTGTCAGCATAGAAATGCTGTTTTGTATTTCTCTGCACAGCATGTCTCCCTAGTAACACAGCACACAGTTAACCCATTGATTGCCCCAGATGTGAACCCCTTCCTGCCCAGTGTCATTAGTACAGTGTCAGTGCTTTTTATTAGCACTGATCACTGTATTGGTGTCACTGGGGATGTCAGTGGCACTTAGTCAGTTCCCACCCAGTGTCAGAATGCCCGCCGCAGTCCTGCTAAAAGTCGCTGATCGCCTCCATTACTAGTATAAAAAAAAAAAAAAAAGCCCAGTATATATACCGCCATTTGTAGATGCTATAACTTTCATGTAAACCAATTAATTTTTTTAGCCAAGACATGGAGCAGAATACATTTTGGCCTATATTTATGAAGAAATTTATTTTTTTAATTTTTAACTGGATGTTTTATAGCAAAAAGTAAAAAATATTGTTTTTTTTTTTCAACTTGTCGATTTATAATAAAAAAACGCAGAGGCGATCAAATACCACCGAAAAAAGGATACAAATTTAATTTACTGTATGTACAGCGTAGCATGACCGCACAATTGTCAGTTAAAATAACGCAGCGCCGTATAGCAAAAAATGGCCCATTCAAGAAGGGGGGTGGTAAATCTTCTGGAGGACAAGTGGTTAAGATCTATATAGGGAATCAGGACTCCATCCTGCTGGTGATCCGTCTAGTGATGCGCCCCACAATTCTGCTTTCCCAACCCTGTTTGCAATTACCTGAATTACGCACTTTCAAATCCTGCTCTTCTATAGGTCTGGCCAACACTGCACCCCCCATGATTGTACTGTTTGAATTTTTTTTTTTTCTTTTTTCCTTCTTTCTTTTTTTTTCTTTTAGAAAAATTGAACTGCAGTTTCCAAGGCTTTCACCAATTTTTCATCAATGCCAAATCTTGTTGCATGTTAAAAAGCAAGCACAAATATGAGACTATTTTTATTATGTAGATATGCGCTATATGAGTATATATATTTTGTGTCCTCAATTTCTCTTTTCAAAAAACATATTTTCTGAATGGTTGTCAAATATTCAGCCCTGAGCGCACTTCAAAGAAAACAACCGCTGCAAGGCATCGGAGGGGGGAAGAGGCGGTTGCTATGGAGACACGTTATTCTGTATCAATGGAAAAGAGCTACAGAAACAACATGAAATGATGGTAGATTCTCATTAATTATCTTTACCACACTAATAAGCAGGAATTTATTAAAATAGTCAATTATTGTACAACAAAGACCACAAAACTTTTCTTTGAAGAGCTGCTGTACTGTTTAGGTGACGGCGCCTGCTGGGTTGCTGGTTTTCTAAAATGATAACAAAGTCCCCACCTACAGGCCATGAGTGTGTATTGCAATGCAGGACCTTAAAGTGACTACCGACAAAAACATACCTAGCAGGGACCTGCAAAACAAGAATACTTACCCGTCGGACAAAGGACAACTCTTTTTGTGCTCTTGCAGGGCTATGATGTCTACTTGCTCTCGATACTTCCAGGTGTGCCAAATGCCCCACTCCCTGCTGTGTGCTGTGGTTCTTTCCACCAGCTGCTGCATCACTATGGAATATAGTATTGGGGTAGTTGTCTGAAGGATGGCCACTTCCAGGCACTTAAGTATTCTTCTTCCTTTAGGTTCCATTCACACTATTGCATTGCGGTAACGCGTTGCTGTGATGTAGGGTCATTCATTCTTATCAGTGCACCAACCACTTAAAGTGTTACTAAACCCTGGACCCTGCATTCACTATATCCAGTCTCCCCGGACCCTGCATTCACTATATCTGGTCTCCCCGGACCCTGCATTCACTATATCTGGTCTCCCCGGACCCTGCATTCACTATATACGGGTCTCCCCGGACCCTGCATTCACTATATACGGTCTCCCCGGACCCTGCATTCACTATATCCACTCTCCCAGGGCCCTGCATTCACTATATCTGGTCTCACTGGACCCTGCTTTCTCTATATCTGGTTTCCCAGGAGCCTGCATTCACTATATCTGGTCTCCGCAGACCCTGCATTCACTATATCTGGTCTCCCTGGACCCTGCTTTCACTATATCTGGTCTCCCCGGACCCTGCATTCACTATATCTGGTCTCCCTGGACCCTGCTTTCACTATATCTGGTCTCCCCGGACCCTGCTTTCACTATATCTGGTCTCCCTGGACCCTGCATTCACTATATCTGGTCTCCCAGGACCCTGCATTCACTATATCTTGTCTCACTGGACCCTGCTTTCACTATATCTGGTTTCCCAGGAGCCTGCATTCACTATATCTGGTCTCCGCAGACCCTGCATTCACTATATCTGGTCTCCCCGGACCCTCCATTCACTATATCTGGTCTCCCCGGACCCTCCCTGCATTCACTATATCTGGTCTTCCAGGACCCTGCATTCACTAAATCTGGTTTCCCAGGAGCCTGCATTCACTATATCTGGTCTCCCCAGACCCTCCCTGCATTCACTATATCTGGTCTCCCAGGACCCTGCATTCACTATATCCGGTCTCCCCGGACCCTGCATTCACTATATCTGGTCTCCCCAGACCCTCCCTGCATTCACTAAATCTGGTCTCCCCAGACCCTGCATTCACTAAATCTGGTTTCCCAGGAGCCTGCATTCACTATATCTGGTCTCCCCGGACCCTGCATTCACTATATCTGGTCTCCCTGGACCCTGCATTCACTATATGTGGTCTCCCAAGACCCTGCATTCACTATATTCGCTCTCTCCGGACCCTGCATTCACTATATCTGGTCTCCTGGACCCTGCATTCACTATATCTGGTCTCCCCGGACCCTGCATTCACTATATCTGGTCTCCCCGGACCCTGCATTTACTATATCTGGTCTCCCTGGACCCTGCATTCACTATATCTGGTCTCCCATAGTACACACAACATGGAAATACAATTATTTTAGTAAATATAAACTGCTAAATACCTTTTCTCATCAGCAGTATATAGCGATCTTGTGACTTCTATCAGTGTCCAGCATAGCACTGGCTAATCTTGTAGGATAAGTTTTCATTCCCCTCTGATCGTTCTATGAGGCTGCAAAACCCCTGATCCTCTGTCTGGACAGTACTGATTGGCCCTGTGCTGATCACATGCACTCTCCCAAGAAAAAAAATAAAACTGTCTATTAATACACACCGAGCATGTGCACAGTGATTCCTAGAGCTCTGTACTATCAACAGATGGATTGGGGACAGTAAAAGAAGAGGAGGATCAGAGAAGACAGGATCAAACATCCTTTTCACACAATGCAGAGGATTAACCCCTTAAGTTTCATAGTAAGTAGAACAAGCATGCTCTACTGCATATACAGACTGATTTTACTGTTGTGGGGTTTGTAATACTTTAACCATATATTGTAGTACATTGAGTAGCTCATTCAAACGAATGGGCTCCCCTAACTCAATGCATGTTAACACACAACACAACTGGCACAGCTTAAATTGGTGGCCAGTTGGAGAAGAATGCCCCTTACATTGGTAATCAATAGGAGAGGAATGCCCCTTACATTGGTGATCAATAGGAGAGGAACGCCCCTTACATTGGTGGCCAGTTGAAGAAGAATGTCCATTATATTAGAGACCAGTAGGAGAAAATGTCCCTTACATTGGTGGTAGGAGGATTAGAATGTCCCTTACATTGGTGGTCAGGAGGAGAAGAATGTCCCTTACATTGGTGATCAGTAGGAGAAGAATGTCCCTTACATTGGTGATCAGTAGGAGAAGAATGTCCCTTACATTTATGATCAGTAGGAGAATTTCTTTTACATTAGTGGCCAGAAGGAGAAAAATGCCCCTTCCATTGGTCACTGGGAGGAAGAATGTAAAGGGCATTCCTCTTCCATTGACCAACCAACAAGTGGGAGAGAAATACCCTTTTCATTGGTGGGGAGAGAGGAATGCTCCATTCATTGGTGGTTAATTGGAGAGGAAAGTCCACATTGATGGTTGGTTGAAGAAAAATTGACATATGGCCAGTGGTAGAAAAAAGTACTTTATGTTAGCAACCAGTAATACAGGAATGGCCCTTACATTGGTGATCAATTGGAGAGGAACGCCCTTTACATTGGTGGCTAGCTAAAGAAGAATGTCCATTATATTAGAGACCAGTAACAGAAAAATGGCCCTTACATTGGTGGTCAGGAGGAGCAGAATGTCCCTTACATTGGTGGTCCGGAGGAGAAGAATGACCCTCACATTGGTGATCAGTGAGAAGAATGCCCCTTACATTCATGGTCAGTAGGAGAATGTCTTTTACATTAGTGGCCATTAGGTGAAAAATGCCCCTTCCATTGGTCACTGGGAGGAAGAATGTAAAGGGCACTCCTCTTCCATTGACCAACCAACAAGTGGGATAGAAATACCCTTTTCATTGGTGGGGAGAGAGGAATGCTTCATTCATTGGTGGTAAATTGGAGAGGAAAGTCCACATTGGTGGTTGGTTGAAGAAATATTGACGTATGACCAGTGGTAGAAAAAAAAAATGTTAGCAACCAGTAAAACAGGAATGGCTCTTACACTGGTGGTCAGCGAGAGGAGAATGTTCTTTACATTGGAGGTCAGGGGAAGAGGAATCTCCCTTACAGTGGTAGTCAGTGGGAGAAGAATATCCTTTACAATCAAGATCAGTGGGAAAAAATGTCCCTATCAGTAGGAGAATGTCCTCTCAGTAGGAGAGGAATGTTCCATATATTGGTGGTCAGGGGGTGAAGAATGTCCCTTACATTGGTAGTCAGTGGGAGAGGAAGGACCATTAAATTGGTTGTCAGGTATAAAAAGAAGAATGCCTAACTGGTTATGTACCTTAGAGAGGAGATTCTTCTCCTCTGGTTGCTCTGCCTAAAGTGTCCTGAAACTACTAGGCCACCTAAGTATACAGAGCAGATGGACGCTCGCCCACCATCTTTGGTCCCAGAGCATTGTCAGGCAAGATTCTGTGGCTCCCAAGGGAGGGAAAAAAAAAGCGCACCTGTAAACTGCAGACGCTTGTAAAACCTCGTCTTGTAAAACAACCCATTCAGTTAAACCACTTCCCGACTGCCTGCTTGCAATGTACTGTGGATGGGCGACTGCTGCAGGCAAAGCGACATACCTGCCTACTTCTGGGTTTAGAGCGGTCGCATGTGCGCCCCCCCCCCAGCCGGCACCTGCTGTGATTGTACATAGCAGGAGCCTATCAGCAAGTCCTGTCCAATGATTCATGGCTGGACCTGCAGATCGGCTGAGTACAATCACAGCCCAAAGCTCTGTGTTGACAATCAACACAGAGCCCTATGCAGAGGGAACCATCTCTCTGTTTCTCATCTCTGCAAAGCTGGGATAAGAAACATAGAGATCTATTAGTAAAAGCAGCACACTTTACACACATTGCACATAGTTAGACACACATTTAACTCCTTGATTGCCCTAGATGTTATCCCCTTACCAGCCAGTGTCAGTAGTACAGTGACAGTGTATAGTATTAGCACTGATCACTGTATTAATGTCACTGGTGATCTCAGTAGCAGTTAGTCAGTTCCCCCCAGCATCGGCTAGTGTCAGATTGCTCGCTGCACTATTGCAGTTCAATATAAAGTTGCTGATCACCACCATTAGTAATATAAAAAATCCAGTACATATACAGTACCATAGTTTGTAGGCGCTATAACTTTCACACAAACCAATCAATATATACTTATTGGGAATTTGTTATCAGACATGTGGCAGAATACATTTTGGCCAACATTTATGAAGAACTTAGTTTTTTGTTATTTTATTGGATATGTTTTATAGCAGAAAGTTAAAAATAGTGTTTTTTTTCAACACTTTCAGTCATTTTTCATTTATATTGCAAAAAATAAAAAGCCCAGTGGTGATCAAAAATCACCAAAAGAGCTCTATTTGTGTGAAAAAAAATTATATACATTATGTTTGGGTACAAAGCAATTACCATGACTGCGCAATTACTAGTGAAAGTTGCAAAGTGCTAAATAGCAAAAAAAAAAAATGGTCTGGGCATGAAGAGGGTAAAAAAATAGAAATGAAAGGCAAAACATTTGTGAATAGATATACAAAACATTATAAATACCTGTTTTTGCCTTTTTATACATGATCGCATTTCCTCTGTTTTTAGCTGCATAAGAGCTGGGGGACAGAAGTACACTGGTCTTCTCAGTGAATGGCTGTGCAGGGGGGAGGGGTGTCAGGACAAGTCTGACTATTGAAGGAGAGCAGGCTGAGTTCCCAGAATAGCTAGAGAACATGGTGAGTTCTCCTGTTTAGTGTGGTCAGTTTTTAATAGGAAAACAGAGGGACTGGCAGGAACACCGGGGATTTCACACAAAGGAAGCAATAGAAAGAGAACAGGAGACTTTTTCATACAAGTACATGGTACAGCAGGCACAAACAGGGCTGCTGTTAGAAACCATGGGGCCCCATACAGCCAGCCTGACAGCCCCCCGCCATAAAGGCCACAGTTGACTATGCTTCAGTTATGAATGAACACGAGTGATTGGTACTGATCAATCACTGTGTTCATTCAGTAAACGGGCTGGTAAATGGGACATATTTACTGGAACTTTCCCCCCCACTCTCCATCCTGAAGTATCCTATTGTCCTAGTGCCTGCAGCTGCCAGTGGAATAAAAGGAGGGAAGTCGGCAGCAGGGTGGGGGCACGGGCAGCAGGGGGAAACATATGGTGCACAGGGAGGGTGATGGTGTGGTGGAGGGACAATTACTGGAACCGATCCCCTGTATGGCTCTCTCTGCAGCTGCTGAAAGCCGATGGGAGGGAGAGGAGAAGGAGTCAGGTTTCATCTGCTGCACAGAGAGCCATACAGGGGATCAGTGCCAGTAATCGCCCCTTTGCTGTTCCAATCACCCTTCCTGTCCACATCTGATTCACCCAGCT